TTACAGGGTTTCGGGCCCCTCGGCAGCCGAGAATTTCAGCTTGGCGATGTGAAAAGAAAAACATAGGTTTTTTCAGTGTTTTTGGTTGCAACGGCTCTCCCGACTTTCGGCTTCTGCTTAGAGAAGCCAGGGCAGTCAGCCTCCTCCCGTGTGGAGGATGCTGCTGGGATGCCCTATGTCCCAGCCCCCGCGCTAACCTCTGTTCTGGCAATACGAAATAGGCTGGAACGAAAGTCTCACTGTCGCCAGATACCTGCGAGTCATCACCGGGGGTGTGGGTAGCTGGCATAAGCGACGCTCTGGCCAGAGGCGAAGTTGACCTCTGGGCTTTCTTCTGGGGATACGAAACAGGTTCGAAGAAAATTCTCCTGGAATCCACGTTCACAAGACAGCAGGGATGCCCCATGTCCCCTCCATAGGTCTCTTCCCCGCCGTCCAAGACCCATTGCATGAATTGGTCGAGGATGTTCGTGCCATCCTTCTTGCCAGCCTTCCCAATGCTGCCCCCACTAACAATGCTCGTAACCGTCTCAACGCCCCCACACTTGCGAAAATCCATCGCAGCGTCTCCCAACTTTTGCCCGGACAACCAACCGTAGCCCGTCGAATCCACCAACACCACCGTAAGCGACGCTCTTGGTATGTCAGCTGCACGCACCGCGGCGCCGCCGGTCTCCATAGCTGCAGCCGACCCAGAGCATCGACCCAAAAAAAAAAAAGATTCGGGTATGCTAGGTTACCCCTACTCACACGCCCCCCTGCTAAAACCGAACACACAATGCAAAAAAAAAAGCATCCCCATTAAAACAAAGGGGGAGAGGTTAGGGCGAACCGATTAGAACGGGACCAAGTTTGGGATCTACAAAAAGCACTGACCCAAGCTGCTTTGCCCTCTACAAAATGGCATGTACAACAAAATGATGCTGCCTCAAGATTGCTATCTTATGCTTACAGGTGCATAGCCATCCATACAACAAGGTAATTTCTTTACAAAAAATGGTCTTCGATAGGTGCCAAAAACTGCCTCGTTACAAAATAGCCCCTTTGCAAGGGCCTCCAGCTCTCCCTTTTTGTAGAGGACATTTCAATGGGGATAAAAAAGGTCAGGTGTGCTTGGTTACTGTTGCTCTCCAACCCTAGCCGTCTCCTAACTTCTTTTGCACTCTACTCTTGGCTATCCTATCGCTTTGGGAATTCAGCGCTAGTTACTTCTAGTGTCTTTGGGTTAGAGGCTGTTTCTCGCTTACACATACTTTTACTCTGTTCACAGGTTCGCCTGTCGTTAAGCCCACGTCTCGCCAGTCTCTGTATCTTTCCCCTTTCCGGTGTCGACTATTTGTCCCCTTTCCGATGTCGACTGTTTCTTGCTAACTACTCTCTGTGGCATGCTGTCTAAATCCTTTGCCACCCTACGTCTCCGATTTACGGCGTCGACGCCTCAACCCCCAACCTCTCCACCCCCGCCGGCCTCGCTAGCGCATCAACTTGCAAACAATGTCCTTGAGGCTAAAACGACGTCTATTTATCCTCACCATGGCTGTGGCTAGCTAGCTACCGTAAGCGATGCACTTATTGCCAGCTAACAGCTGCCGCCTCCCAACGTATATCGCGCTCCATGTGCCTCCTCTCTCTCTCTCCGACTCTCCCGACTTTTAGTTACTACAAGCAACCAAGGCAATCAATCCCCGTCCCTCGGACGGGTACTACCGAGGTGCCCCAAACCCCGGCTTCTCCATGGAAGCGTAACGTATCCTCACCGAAATCACGCCCCGCAAACACCGCGAACGACACCAACCGCCTCGACCCAAAACTCTCTTACCCACGTGCGCCGGCGCCCGGCTATCAGACGTAAGCCTTTAAATAAAAAATCGAATGTATAATGTTAAAATTACTATTCAATAATTAAAAAATAAATACAATTACAATAAAATTATTAAATTAATAATAAATATATTTATAATACATTTTATAATATATCTATATTAAAATAAACATTTTAAACATATAACACATCAAAATTTTTACATATCGTCCCAATCATACTTAAAAATAACATAATTTTACAAAAAAATATAAAATCATATTATAAAAAAATCAATTCTTCAAATTATCAATATTTTTTTAAATATATACATATAACCCTAAATTAAAAAATATTACAGAAATATAAATTTAGAATTAATAAAGAATTATTCAAATAAATATACTAATAAATATATTATGTTTTTTATTAAATATCTTTTAAATATATTTAATATTGTTTTAAATTAAAATTAATTCTAAATAGTAAATATATATATATTAAAATATGAATATATGTTATATTAATATTTATCATATATATAAATAAATAAATGTATATGAATTTTACGATAAATATGTTTAAATATAGAAATTTAACATTAATTAATAATATCAATTCCAATTCCTATAACGAGAATACATTTATAGGCGTTGGCAAAGACCTTGTTATTTATGTTGTTTCCGGATTCCAAAAACAATATCCTCTAAAGAAATCCTTCCATGGGCCAAATAAACCGTCCAAATACATATTGTGAAATTAAAATTAGGAAAAATCATGGCGGCCGCTCCATCATGAACCTTCCCATCAACCTCAAATCTGAGTTTCCTATCGCGAACATCAGCCGAACCCTAAACCCCCGCTGAAAGAAAAACCTTTCTCCGTAACTGCCAGCGCTACCCGGCAAGCAACTGCTTTGACCGGCCTAGTTGCCTTCATTCTGCTTTTGCAGCGGCAATTCCTTGTTGCAAAGCATCTGAGGTCTTTTGAACATTCTATCGCCTGGATGCGGCTGGGGCCGCAGGGTCGGTTGGGTTCAAAGCAGAAGCTCAGACCTCATATGATTCATCAAACCTCATCTAACTTCTTTTGACCAACACATTGGGGCCAAAGAAAGGGATGGGCTTTTGTTGGCCCTCAAAAGTGCAAGCAGCTTCAACGGACACAAAACATGAGCGGAGACTTAAGGCAGGTCTCGCATGGGCGGCTTGTGGTCCACGCGACGCTCAGGAGATGGAGTTAAAGATGATGCACCTGGAGCGCTTTCGCTTGGCGGTCCAGAAGCGTCCGAAGACCTTCGAGGCTGAGCAAACGGTGAGTCTAAAGGAGTTCGCGTCTTGAATGACGCTGCAAACCGAGTGCTGCTTGCTTCTGTGGGTCGCTTTGGCCATTTGGCAAAGCCAAGAACCACAGGCAAATACTGCGCAGTGAGGCTGACAGTCTTCCATTACAACACAACAAGAAAACATCTATTGACCTTGCAGGTTTCGGGGGAGTGTCACAAACCAGACTGAACAAATGACCCCCAATGAGTTTGTGATCGGACAAGGTCAATGTACCGCAGGATACTGGGCGTCTCTCATATCAGGTGAGAATGGCAACCGGGCATCCAAGCACACAATATGTCTAATCTACACAACCCTGCACCTAATTGTTCCTTTATGGTTTGGATATTCCTGATATCACCTATACTTAATCCATTTACTCCACAAGTTATATAAACATTGATAAACATGGTGACAAATTGAACTTTGGGAAGCCTGGCAAACACTCAAAAGAGCGGACCAATCAACGACAAAATTGCATCAGGCATTGAAAGGCGTGCCACTGTAGACTGCAAAGCTAGGAACTTAGTTCACTCCCCGCAGTCCAATCCTTACGATTCAGCTCTATGGGCTTGTTGATCCAATCGGAGGGTTTGACACCATTCCAAACAAACTACCTGCACGATGTCTTGTGGGAAAAAGGAACCTTTTCCTGGCAACAACCTCACTCTGGGAGGTCCCCCGATTGGGCAAACAAACCTGAACTGGATTCATTTTGTTTTTTGTTAATCCTTTCCACCCAGGTTTCTGCGGTCTCCTGGTGGTCTCCTTCTCAGGCATCCTTTGAGCTCACCAGCGCAATCGACTGCAGGGCTGGAAACTGGATGCTGTTCTCGGTGCGGCTGCCTGATCAAACAACCAACTTGGTCTTTTGCATGCGCACAAGATTTTAAGAACACCTTAAGGTATGACGACACCACATTTTTTCTCAGACCAGCCTGGAACCATTCCCACTCACAAGGTCCTGTCTCCACCAGTTCCACCTCATCACTCTCCCTTCCCAACTTGCTCCCTAGCCAGTACGGTGCTGCAACAGGGCACGCAGAAGCAGTAAGGGAGCGTGTGGCATCCCTATCAATCAAGCAAACACAGCTTAGCGCCGCAAAGCCAATACAGTGCACGTGCTGCAAACTGAAACGACACTGCAGCGACGGCACACCTCCGTCTGTCTGAAAGCTAGCCCCGATTAGCACACCCGTTGCAACAATTGAGCGAGAACCTAACAATGAAACACATCTTAATTTGGGATGGGCAAGTAACTGATTGAAGGCGCTATGCAAACAAAAACTCCATGCCTTGGAGGGTTCAAGCTTTCGCTTCGCAACTGATTCAGTATGATTTCCAGTTATGATTACAAGTCTGAAGTCATCTGAAGGGAAGTCTGGATGCACACCCATCCCTTACGATTTACAAGAGGCTACTGGCAGGTCGATCAAGAAGCTTGCAAAAGGTATGTAACCTGGGACTTGACGACACCTTGCTGGTTGTCAAGGACGCCTTCTCTACCACATGCTTCCGCTACTATACTGCTCTTTTAGGACATACAATGCGCAGTGCAACTCCTTAGTTGAACGTGCTCCTCTGTCTTGATGGGAGATGTTGTGAGTCTGATCTGTCCTTCCCTCCTCAACAAGCAATCAACTGTACTGGAGAGTAAGCCGCATGCCTTTGTTGCTTGCTATAGAATGTTGATCAAAAGAACTGCGAACCTCAACGAACCACCTTACAGCATGTTTACAAGACTGTTGGTCTGAACCACCCACCTTTTTCACAGAACATGCATACCGAAACACCATGTCACCGAGGTTGGATGACATTGGTGAACAAAAGCCACCTTGATGACATTGGAATACCCAGAAAAGTGAACGGATGGATGAAACTGTTCAGCAGTTCGTCACTTGGATTGGGACAACCCTCCTTGTGCCTTATGCACCCTAGTCATGGAGGGCTTTCAACAATCTTCAATCAAACCAACATATCGTAATATATCGTACCGCATCATCAAGTCAAACACTGAGGACTGAGGACAGTCAGGGTTTGGTACGAACCGGGCCTGCTGGAGGATATGAACTGGAGAAGTCTTGAACAGTCTTGGGTCCTCAGCGAGGCAAGTCTCTCCACGATCCGCGTTTCGTCTTAGTTGCGACAGTACACGTTCCATTTGGTCGGGCGGGACATTGTCCCTGGTTGTGAACGAGCTGCGTGTTAGCCCAAGTGGTTCCCCTTGAAGCCACCACTCACCCCACCCTGGCTGCCTTCACTCTACTGGTCGCAGTTGGGTTTCGTTGCTCGATCTCGTGTGTGGAATGGAGTTTTAATCCTCAATTGTTTGAAAGTTGACAGGATCTTGTAGGGCAAGGCTGAATGATGTTGGTCAAATCGCCACAGATTAGTGAGGTTGGGACCCTAAATATAACTTACATGTTTCTTGATCTTTGAGGGTCAAAATTGTAACCTAACATGTGTTTAAGGCATCAAACATGTAATATTACAGCTTCGACCACCAGCTTACATGTTTAATTGACAGTTCACAGGAAATATGACACCTGTAGACCCCCCCACCCCCACCACGTTCACGCACTGTTTAACTAAGTTACATTTTGTGGATTCATTGTCGAAAGCTCTTTCCTTTAGACAATTCCTTGCATTTTCTCTCGTTTTGCATTAATATTCTTTATGTTCCTTTCATGTTCTTTGGATTTTGCATGTATTCCTTTCATGTTTCTTTCATGCTATATTAATTTCCTTTCATGATGTTTCATTTGCGTTGATGTCCTTTCATATTCCTTTCATTTTCCAATCATATCCTTTCATTTTGCATTTATGTCCTTTCATGTTCCTTTCATTTTGCTTTCATGTCCTTTCATGTGCCTTTCATAGTCTATTCATGTCCCTTCATGTTCCTGTCATTTTGCATTTATGTCCTTTCATGTTGCATGCATGTCTTTGATTGTTCCTTTCATTTCGCATTCATATCCAACCGTTTTCCTTTAGTTCTGCTGTCATTTCCCTTCATGTTTGTTTCATGTTGTAATCATTGCCTGTCATGTTGCTTTCACGTTGCATTCATTTCCTTTTATGTTCAATTCATTTTGCATTGATGTCCTTTCATTTTCCTGTCATTGTGCATTTATGTCCTTTCTGTTTCCTTGCGTTTCGCATTCATTTCCAAGTAGTTTCCCTTAATGTTGCTGTCGTTTCCTTTCATTTTGCAGTCGTTGCCTGTCATGTGCTTTTCACGTTGCACTCATTTATCTCTCATGCAAGAACATGTAAAATGCAACGTTAAATGCTGAAGGCGTTTTCCCTTTGGACGGTTCCTAACATTTTGCATTAATTTCCTTGCATTGTCCCTTCATTGTTCATTATTTCCTTTCATGTTCCTTTCATGTTGCATTCAGTTCCTCTCATGCACAAACTGCAAAATGTAATGTGAAATGATGAGGGTTTTTTCTCTCATTTTATACTAATTTCCTTGCGTGTTCCTTTCATGGTTCATTCATTCCTTTCATTTTCCTTTCATGGTGTGGTCATTTCCTGTCATATTCCTTTCATTTTGCACTTATGTCCTTTCATGCTCCTTCATTTTGCATTCGTGTCCTACAATAGTCCTTTCGTTTTTGCATTCATATCACACCATTTTCCTTTAATGTTGCAGTCATTTCCCTTCTTGATCCTTTCATTTTGCAATCATTGCCTGTCATTTTCCTTTCACGTTGAGTTCGTTTCCTTTCATTTTCCTTTCATTTTGCATTGATGTCCTTTCATGTTCCTTTCGTTGTGCATGTAGTTCCTTTCAATCGCATGCATGTCCCATCATGTTCGTTTAATTTCGCAGTCATTTCCGTTCATTTTGCGTTCAGGGCCTGTCATGTTTCTTTCATGTTAGATTATGTTGCATTCATTTCCTCTCATGCTCCTTTCATTTTGCATTCATGTCCTCTCACGCGAAAAAAAGGTGGTATGTTCAAACTGGTCATGCGGGTACACTCCCAAGCGGTCGCAATTATTTACTGAAAATGTAAGATAAAATGCCAACCGTTTTTTCCCTTTAGACATTTCCTGTCATTTTGCATGAATTTCCTGCACTTTCCTTGCATGTTTCACTCATTCCTTTTAATCTGTTTAATTGATTTCCTCTCATGTAAAAAATGCACATTAACATTGAAAACGGTTTTTCCCCTATAGAAATTCGTGTCATTTTGCAGGAATATGTATGTTCCGTTCATTTTCCTTTCATTTTCATGTATTCCGTTCATTGTCCTTTCAAGACGTATTCATGTCCTTTTATGTTCCTTTCATGTTGCATTGATGTCCTTTCATGTTCCTTTCATTGTGCATTTATGTCCTTCCTGTGTCCTTTCGTTTCGCAGTCATTTCCAATTATTGCCCTTTATTTTGCTGTCATTTCCTTTCATTTTGTAATGATTGCCTGTTATGTTACTTTCATGTTGCATTCATTTTCTCTCATGTGAAAACATGTAAAAAGGCAACATTAGAGGCTGAATGCGTTTTCCCTTTAGACATTTCCTGTCATGTTGCATGTATTTCCTTGCAATTTACTTTCATGTTCAAGCTTTCCTTTCATGTTGCAGTCAGTTCCTCTCACGAAAAAGAATAGCATTAAATTCTGAAGGTTTTTCTCTTTCGACATGTCCTGTCATTTTGCAACATCCTGGCGCACAGACGTACACAAACACACACACACAAAATGACACTTTGCCACCAAGCAAAAAATCATTAAAACATGTAATTTCCAATTGGGCCACACCCCCAAACCCTCAGATTTTCCCAGGAAGCCTAGGTTATGTGAGAAACGCTGACCTCACAAATTGTAACGTACATTTTGGCCGCGTCCCAAAACCCTCAGAATTTACAAGAAAATGAAAGCGCAGAGGTCACCGTCACCATTTTGGACGTGATTTGGTGCGTTCTCTGGGATTTGCCCTTCTTTGAAAATGGTGCCCGCGGCGGGCGCCATCTACGAAACGGTGTAATTTGTTGTTCTCTCGGGAGGGTACCCGCACGACCAGTTTGAGCATACCACCTTTGGAAGGAAATGAGTGCAAAATGAAAGGATCTGAACGCGAAAGGAAAGGAAATAAATGCGAAGCGAAAGGACATGTCGAAAGGGAAAAAGCCTTCAGCATGTAAAGTTACATGTTCCAAAAAACTTGCGGGCGCTTGGGAGGGTATCCACATGACCCGTTTGAGCATACAACCTTTTGAAGAAATCAAAAGGAAAGGAATGCACAATGAACGGGAAATGAAAAGACATGAATGCAAAATGCAAGGAACATCAAAGGAAACACTCAAACTGGTCATGCTGATGCCCTCCTATGCGCGTACTCAAAGTAACAAGGTTCGATTGGACAACGATAACAAAGCAAAACAACGATAAGAAAAACCGAAGCTAAACGCAGCGTCAACGCTTCCAAGTTACATTTGTTGACCCCCCTAAAGCCGTTCTGGTCTTCCAAAAATGTAACTTAGAACGTCCCCACGTATCGAGTTACATTTTCCTGGACCCCCCCCTCTACAGGTATGATTCTGACAAACGTTGCAAAATATAAGTTTTTTTGGGGGGGTGGGGGGTGACCAAACATGTAACTTACATTTTTGGGCCCCTCCCGTTTTCATGGTTAAAGGGGTTGCGATTTGGTAAACAATTGCAAAAATTCAGGAATACTCAGAACAGTAAATGGATGGATGAGACCGTCCAACGCTTCATCGCTTTGGTTGGGACACCCCTCCTTGTGCCCTTTGAACCTTTCAACAAGTCAACATACTCAATCACCCAGTCAACATTTGAAGACATTCAAGCTTTGATATGAATCAGGCCTGAGGGACATATCTTTGCGCGTGGGTCGAAAGTTGCATAGGCCGAGGCGCCTGGACAGTGCGCACCAAACAAGCGTAACATAGTGTTACATGATTTTCATGTAGTGTCAAATAACTGGAGGAACAGAAAGCAACACCATGGTGGTTTCCTGTTTGTCTACCATCCTATTAAATTTCATTGATATATGCAAAGTGCACATTTGATCACATTTGGGTCGATCCCAGTGGATCATTTCTCACGTCCCGCCACCCAGGTATGCTTGAATTCAGGTTGGCGAAAGTATAAGTGAACAGCACACCAGCGTACAAACTAACCCCCAAGTCGGAGGTCCTCAAACTCTCACTGGACAATAAGCAAATCTCTTGGCGTTGGCGATTGTCTTGCCATACTGTGAGCAGCACCCGCAATGTCAACTTAGCCACTAGCTTCCCAGCCAACATTCAGTAGGGAAGGTGTCGTTCCTCTACTGCACAGTGAGCGGCGCCGTAATAAAATCGGCTGTCAGGCCGTAGGTAAACCCAAAAGGTGACACGTGCACAACGCTTCCAACACGTCCGTCAATCTCACTGTTGACCCAGCACCTGCTGTGCCAGTGTTGAGTGCGTCAAGAACAGTTGAGCCGCCGGCAAAATGGAACGCCCTCTGAAATGTGAATGAGACATGCCACAGGCACTTGATTTAGGTGGGAAGTACAGAGGAGGTCGGGTATCTCCATGTTCAATATTGCGTGGATTAAACTAAGAGTCTGAAGACACCTTTTGTTCTGTTCACATTGCTCCCTTCCTGGGCTCTGTGCAGGTTTTGCTTCTCCACTTTGTTGATTGTGTCTTTGCTGCCACTTCTCTTCTTTGTTCGATCTACTTCTTCTCTGGATATCTTTCAATCGCGTTTATCGCGTTTCTCCGATCGCGGTTCTTCAAGCTTCAAATCGCAACATTTCGGTAGAGCAGTACTCTAGCTTTGTGGAGCCTGACAGGACGCTGACAGAATCTTGTTTGGTCACGGTCAGCCCTGGAATCCTTAGAACACCGATTTGCTGTGAAACACTCGCGGGAGGAGACTCGTATTGAATTGTGTCCTTTTGTTTTGCACCTCTGCAAGAATGTTTCCATTTTCACAACTCCTAGCGGTGCCTGAACATTCCACGCACCAGGTGATGTTGCCAAAGAACACCTTTTTATTGCAGGAATACCCACACAAAACAGTGAATGAATCGATGGATGAAAAGCCTTCCCGCTACCGTTGCAAATGGTAAGTTGCGTTGTGCTCCTGATGCCCCGATAAGCCCTATTCATAGAAGGCTTTCAACCAAATCAAGCGACAAATCAAACACTGAGGAAGTTCCAGGTTTCATACTAGCCGCGCCTGATTGATGAAAGTTGGCGCAGGCGTGGAGAATTGAGGCGAGGAGAATACCACAGGCGCCTGGACAGCACCCACCAAGCAATCGTGCTCATGTAATGTCAAGCAACTGGGTGACAAGAATGTTCTTTGCTTTGCTGTGAGTTGCGACGCCTGCTGAGCATGATCGTTTCAAGTTAGTCTACCACCATTTCACTTTTTGCTTCCATGGCATTCCATGGCATCATATTCACATGCACGTTGTAAGCGCCTTTGCAACACTGGGGGGGCGCAATTTACTTTCAACATACATTGCAAATGCCACCCCGGTATGATTCTTTGGAACGGGGGTTGGTTGGCATATCCAATTGAACACGGGACCAGTGTCTGCACCACAATGAGCAGCGTAATTGGTATGCATCATTAAACGCTTTGTTATCTTGCGCGGGCCCCAATTACCTCTTAGATTACGGAGGGGTGGTTGGGGGGGATATTGACCTTGGCTTAGGGCCTGATACAGGACTCATTGCCATATTGCTAGGATAAGCTTGAGTGAAACGGTAGGTTGGGACAAGCCCTGCATGCCCTGAAAATGGTGGAATCAGCAGGGCAGGATGGATTTTTGTCGACAGGAAGGCATCCTGCCTTCAAGGAACTAAAATGTCTTCACAAAACGACCATAAATTGAAAACGCGGGCTTTGGCTTCCACCCAACAAGATGTCAGAGCCCTCCTTTTTGGAGCTTTGGGCTGACGCAATGCTACTTTGAGGGTACCTGAGGGCAGCAACTTGGACTTTTTTTGCCCGGACCCTATTTCAAGCTTAACCAAAGCTACTGGACGATACAAAGTAGTGTTGTCTCCTCAGTCTGTACGAACGACTGCCAAAGCGTAAGCCTCAAAACCACTCCCAGCACCACCCACCACACGAGTCCATAATTTGTTGAGTAGCAAACCACATGTTTTCATGTTCACACTCTCTCGTTCAGACCACAAAACAACTTTTGTTGTCCGAAAGGTATCTTTCTTCTGAGGCGCCCCTATCTCAGCTACCAGGCAATACCAGCTACTGAGCAAACTCGGGCTTCGTTGCTCGATCGTGATTCTTTTCTCGACTGCGGTTCTTCGATTGACCGCATGTCTGGTAAAGTAGAAGCGCTCTAGTATTCCAGTTTTGTGGAGCCTGACAAGATCCTGACAGGATCTTTTTTTGGTCACGGCCAGCCCTGGAATCCTTGGAACCCTGATCCACCGAAGTCGGATGATGTTGGTAAACAACATCACCCTTATTAAAGGAATACCACCAAAAAACAATTAACAAACAGTCAAGCGGTTTGGTTGGGACAACCTTCCATATGCCCTATATGCCCTTCACGCACCCTTCAAACGTCGTAGCCCTATTCACCTGAGCGGTAAACGCAGCAGTAATTGATGGTGGCGCACGTGGCACCTGGACAAGAACCACCGCACTGACACAAGTCCATGCAATCCAACAGAGGTTGAAGAACCCGAACTAGACTATCCCATAGGTACCCCAGTAAGGCCCTATAAGGTCACTTAACCTCTCTTGGATGGCAAACGACTTGTGAAACAATCGAAGAATCTGTTTGTTTTGCGTGTCAGCCGTGCCACCTGCTGAGCACTAATCGACCACCAGTTCACGTCTTGTTTGAAGGCTTTCAACCAAATCAAGCGACAAATCAAACACTGAGGAAGTTCAAGGTTTCATACTAGCCGCACCTGATTGATGAAATTTGGCGCAGGCGTGGAGAATCCAGGCGAGGAGAATACTCGAGGCGCCTGGACAGCACCCACCAAGCAATCGTGCTCATGTAATGTCCAGCAACTGGGTGAAAAGAATGTTCTTTGCTTTGCTGTGAGTGTGACGCCTGCTGAGCATGATCGTTTTAAGTTAGTCTACCACCATTTCACTTTTTGCTTCCATGGCATCATATTGAAATGCACGTTGTAGGCGCCTTTGCAACACTGGGGGGGTGCAATTTACTTTCAAAATACCTTGCAAATGCCATCCCGGTATGATTCTTTGGAACGGGGGTTGGTTGGCATATCCAATTGAACACCGGACCAGTGTCTGCACCACCCATGGAATTGCGGGGTCTTCAAAATCTGAAATGAACGGATTTGTTTCATTACTAAACTCAAATACGTCATGCATTTTCTCAGGGCCCTATATACCTCAGATCATGGAATCAATTTGGGGGTTTGGCGGGGGCCGGTGGTCGGTCTGTGAAGCATGTCAATTGAACCAAAAAAACATGTTGTGAGCCACCCGATGGTAAAAAATACAAGCGGAAGGACGACCATACGGCCCAACTCTTCGTGGGAGCTCCAAAAAATGGCGTCAACAAAGCATGGGTGCCCGGAGTGCCCGCCCATGCTTGGAAGCGTCGCCGTGGGACCTTCCCCAAACCCAAGAAACACAAACGGTGCCCTCATCGGAACCTGCGGTCGCTATATATATATATATATTCCTCCCCTTACATGGTTGTCCAAGGACAAAACCCGTCACGGGAACAAACAAACAAACAGCATCAATGAAGCATGAGAGCCCGGGAAACATTTAGAGGAGAGGAAGGAGCTAGTATGCCTGTCCGACCATCCCGGCTTGCTACATTGCCAAAGACCAAACCCTTTGTGGGAGCTCCAAAAAGCAGCATCAACGAAGCATGGGTGCCCAGGTGGCCGGATCTGGAACACAAGAACTGTCTAAATATAATATATATATATATATGTTTTTGGAGAGAGAGAGAGAGAGCGGTTTCAAGAGACCACTTATATACTATGTAGCCCTGTCGAAATCAAGAAAAAGATTGCTTTCGCTCACGTGATAATATATCCAAGAGGAGATTTGACGCGTGCAAAGCCGCGTGCAAATCACACAACCCGGAATCTGACCATACACCGAGCACCTGCTGTGTCAGCGTTGAGTGCGGCGAGGCCTGGACGATGGAAAGCCGAACGAATTGAGAAATACCACTGGTACTCGATTGGCCCCATTGCAATTTTAAGAATTTTTTGAGAGGTTTAGGTGGTACATAATAGGTCAGGTATCTCCCTGCCCGGATCTATACTGAAATATGTCTGGCTTACGTTCTGGAAAAGAAACTACATTCCTTAATAGCACTTCTCGCCTTTTCTTGTGCGTTGCTTTGATAAAATTGTTGAGTGTTCAAGCTTTGGGGAGCCTGACAGGCTCTTGTAGGGTCATGAAAACACTTAATCTTCTGACCTGGCCTGGAATTCTCTGAACCCTGAGTCTCGAGTTACATTGGATGACATCGGGATACAAACAACACATAACAAAGCCACCTTTCTTGCGGGAATGCTCCGATGAAATTGCTCAGTTATGGTCACTTGACTACTTGTGTTGTCTTAGTTGTGCCCCATGAACCCTGCTCATAGAAGGCTTTCAACAGACTTCAAGCAAGCCAACATACAGTGTCTCATCATCAAGTAAAACACAATTGATGCTCAAGGTTGGATATTAACCGCGCCTGGCGACAGATGAAAGATGCATTTAAAGATGCCTGGCGTCGCTGACGTCGTGGCATAGCAGTGACGATCTGTGACGCCCGGTATGCAAAACCTTCCCCGTAGCCTCGAGCTCTGGCACCAAGTCCTTTTCCTGACACAGCAATACCATTTCTTCCACGAAAAGCGTCGAAGAGAACTCTCCGGCACCGGCCTCATTCCTTTCCGCTGATTCTTCTTCATCTCCATCCTCCTCTACATCCTCTTCCACTTTCTCCATAACTTTCCTTGCTTCTGATTCCAGAGTCGGAGATTTGTCATCCTTGGTGGCATCTTCTAGTTCCTCAGTACTGCTCAGTAGCAAATCGAGGTTTAGGATATTCGACTGCAGACCGGTGCCACAACCACACCGTTGAACACTTTTAAGGTACAAGTGCCTCAGCACATCTGCCCACCCAGTCTAGAATGAATTTACTTGGCCCAGCCTTAGCCAGCAACATGGTCAGTTAGGAATCGTACCGCCTGGCCTGGCCTTCAACTGGTTCGGTGAGTGGATCCTAGTGGGGGCCGCCCAGAAAACTCGCCAACATCCGCCGTGGGGCCGATTGTCTGGGCCGTTTCGAGATCGGGACTGGGCTCCGGACCTTTCGCTTATCTTCAAACTGTTGTAGCACCTCTTGTAGGAACTTCGGGTACTTCCGGCCCTTAGCGCGCGTGTTTTCTGCCAATTGGCAGTCCTTTTTTGGAATTTCTACTGCAGGATGTTGAGTAGTCTGTCAAAATGACGGCTGATACACTTCCTGCTGATTATCAAACGCTTCACCATCCACTGCACACTTGTCATTAGATCCAGCATGACAAAAGCGTGCCTGCTCACCATATAAGACCATCATCCCTTCCATTTTCTTCATCTGCTCGGAAATGGCTTCCGTGTCATTCCCACAGGACTTTAAAAGCTCACGGAGTTTCTTCTTGGAGCACTTGGCATCCAATTCCAAAAAGGCGAGGTTGTACTTGGCATCCATAAGTTTTTTCTTTGCATATTTGCCTCGAAGAAGAACAGAACATACGTAAAAAAAGAACGCAAACAACCGCCCTTCTTTGTTAGTTCATCTTTTTCGGTGTCTGAGGGAGCGTCCATCCTTGCCGGTGAGCTTGTTGTAAATCTCCTCAAGCCTTTTAAACGACTCCTTGGCCTCTTCTACCCTGCTAATCTCAAGGTAGGTCATGCCGATCGCATATTCCTGGAGGAAGGTTTCAAGGCCTTTCTCTGTCATACCTTGGTTCGCGCGCATTCAAACCAAAAAAACCAGGCGCTCATCAAGAAAGTGCAGATCTGCGACACCAAACCTGCACACCGCAACAACCGCTCGGACAGGACACCGCAAGAAAACACGGAAGAGCAGGCAGGAACTGGGAAGTCTGAAATGACACGAATCCAAACGACTCCCACAACCCGATTGCGTTCCTCACACTATGCAAGTGCGCCTACTAAGATAATTGGGCCTGATTGGGCACAGGTGGGGGTGAGCGTAGGTGAGCTTGAAAAGCGGAACATGAGGGATGAGTTTCGGTGTTGACGATTGATCCGCAGCTGTGGGAGATCAGGATTGTAGGTCGGTCATGCTGCATGGTGGGAGGGTGGTGGGTGTGGCAAAGTAGCGAACACTTGCAAAACGTTTGGCAAGTCAGGGCCGCCACGGTGGCACCAGGCCCTTAAAAAGCCGCAAGCGTGAAGGGCTGTTAGAATGATATGTCGCTAGGGCAAAACACTTGCGGGTACTCAGGGTGGCGGAGTGTCTGTCGGGCTGATCCTTGGTTGGGATCGAGGCAACTAGTGTTCGTGGGGAAAACTATGGAAAACTGAATGAACTTGTAAGTTGGTAGTGAGGCTCCTACCCACTGTTCTGCTGTTCTAGATAGGGACCCTTTTTTGAGCACTATCAAACACGAATCATTGTAAATTTACGCCGGAAGGCCTTCTCTCTGCTTTTCCCACTCCTTTTCAAGATCCTCTATGAGCTTATTGACCTCCTTAGTCTTCTCATCCTTTCTGTCTTGCTGAATCTCTAGAAGTTGCTGAAGTGGACCTCGGAGAAGGCCCAAAAGGCTTTCTGCCTCCTTCTTGTCTTCCTCTTCCAAGATTCTTCTGATCGCAATCATTAGCTCATGGACCAAATCTTCTGTGTAGTCCGGTTTTACCAAGAAGTTGATGCGCTGAGAAAGGCAGCGAAGGGAATCCACATGGAACCTGCCCAGCTCCTTGTTGCCTTGGCGCATCAACACAATACCTGCGACAGCTACAAGCAGTAAATGGCAAGGCACTCACAAAGATTGTAAGCTCCAGACAAATCTCCATAGCATCTACGTAATACTTGTCAGAGATTCCGCTGGTGCAAGCCGCCCACAGATTTGCCAAATCACGTTTAACCAGACCGGTTTCAGCGTGCTTTTTTTCCCAGCTTCTTCTCTCCTCAGTGACAACTGTCCTGCATTTCGGCAAACAACACTTGACCCGAGCTTTTGCGGAATTTAAGCTTCTGGCGCTGCACCATGACATCGTTCAGCATGCTCAAAGCTTCATCTTTGGCATCCTTGTCATTCTTGGAGTAAAGAAGAGAAGCATGCCTGCGCATCTGCTTCAAGGCTTCGATGTCAGGGAACTTCTCGCCTCTTTCGCCCAGCCACTCTTCGTCTGAAGTTTCGCAGCTCACGTTAAACAGGTTTTTCTGCAAGGCTGGCTCAAGCCTTCAAACTCATCGAACTAAGCACAAGGTCTGTCCTAAGGTCTGTTCTCACCAAAAATCTAAGACCCAGGCAGTGTTCAAATGTCTCTTTGAACATCTGTCTAGCATCCTCCAATATATATTCATTTCCCTGGCGTGAGAGTTGCTGAAGGACTGGGACTAAAGAGAACGTGCATCGCATGTAGACCGGATGCTTCTTGCCCAGATTTTCCGCACCTCAGCAACCCAAAGCAAGTCACATCGCTGACGATGTCAACTGGTGCTTTGGCTTTGTACACCTAAATGATCCACTGGTGCTTTGGCTTAGTAGCACAACTATTCAACGCTCGCGTCTTTGGCTTTGTACAGCGTCGCTCCGCTGAGTTCGGGGCTTCTCTTCGCTCCTTGGAGGGTTTCGACAGCTTGTGGAAACCGGTTCCCCTGGGCCAATTGGGCTCGTCCAACACCATCGCGAGCAAGCAAAGTGAACTGATGTTGTTTCCCAAAGTGCCTCTCGCCTCAGCAGTCCGCAACTATTAACATACAAACTATGCGTATTCTGCTAGCGCAGCTGTTGCAAATTAAGGTCCTAACCCAGTTTCTTGCAATCCTCCATCTTTGACAAAGCTTCCTCATGAAGACCACGAGCCAAATATCGATTTCCGAGTTCGTACAAAAGGTCAAAGCGTTCCTCGAGAATCGCGATTTTCATATTGTTGTCTGCACCGGTTACACTGATCAACTGGCTGAATTTCTTCCGAATACTCTCGCTCCGCTTTCGCATGCACTTCAGCAAGCGCTGTGCTTCGAGTCCAGCGTTGCAAATGTCGCTAGGTTTGTTCTGATTCGAACTTGCGTTCGATTCGTTAGAAGTCGAACTACCAGAGTCGCTATGGGCGATCGACTCGTTGGATGTCGAACTGCCACAATCACTGTCGGTGTCGCTATCAATCTCGAAATCTCCCTCAGAGAAAATGTCTGAATCGCTGTCATCGGCTGAAGCTTCCTTGCCATCCTTTTCCTTTTTGTATTTGATGACCCATACATCACGTTTCTCGTGAATGAAGTTCCCATGCACATCGTGGCCTCAGGCATTTCAACGAAGGCCGCAATGATACAGTTTCTGCACTGTTTGGTACAGATTCATCTTTTGGGGTGCATGGTGCCTGCAAACGACCGTGGAAGCCGGACCTCTTCAAAACCCAAAAGCATGAGGAAAACATTGCAAACAATTTTTTGTAACAATTTTCAGCCAAATCTGAGAATCGAACCTGCGGCAATGTGTGTTTTCCTCGGCTTGCGTGCTTGGTGTGACTCAGGCCGGTATTTAAAGACCGTCAAATTCCTGGACACGATTTGGCTTGCACGCCCGCTCATAACAATCGCTGTGATCAACACCAATGCCCTGCGAACAAATTTGAATGCTGAGGCACGGCCCATCCTCTTGAACGTTGAAGTAGCTTCCTTTCGGAACCAGGAGAGGAACACAAAATGCTACCCGATGGCCGTTCTTGTTGCCAGTGCCCCACTCTTTGTCCCTGTTCTTGAAAGTATCATCATCGATGTTGGGACCTGCACAAGAGCTAAAATCACACCGCGCAGGAAAACTTCACAAGTATCCGTAAGTGGAAGTTTCTCGAGATCACGAAAGGGATCGCGACAAAAGTTCGGTAGACAATCGAATGGGTCAACGCGAGCGGACAAACGCGAAAACATGTGCAAAAGGATGAGTCGAATGAGTTGGCAGGGCACCAAAATGCAAACTACCGCCTACCAGTGAAACAAACACGGTGACGGCGCCCGTTTTCTTTGCGAGTGCCTAGTGTGAAGCGCGATGAGGCACTGTGGTTCACAGTTTGCGCACCCACACACAAACCCAGCGCTGTCCCACATGAAACCAAGCCAGCACCGATGGGAAATCATCATAACTTATAGTCTATATCGCCGGGCGTCAGCGACCGTGGGTTTATATCTCACTGCCCATAGCCACGAACATTAAAAACTACACGCGCCATAGATGGCCATGTGCTTTTCTGCGGGTTACACAAAAAACGGTTCGCGCGGCCACTGGGGAGAGTTCATTGGTGTCTCAGTGATATTCAGCCATTGTGTCAGTCGCGCATTGAACATGGCTCTTGCCCGGGGCCTAGGGAGAAACACAGAAGGTTCCGAAACCCAGGGTTTCAAGGCTTCAGCAAGAACTCAGTCTTGGGGCTGTTTTTGGCAGTTGACCTGATGCAACATCCTGCGCTTGCCAATCACAACGAATGTCACCATCACTTGGACCACCCCCCTGCCACATCACACGCCGAAACAATGAGTCCAAAACGACATCCTGTACTTGCCAATTGCAACGCACAACGAATGTCACCACTCCCACATGAAACACCAAAGCCACCGACCCGAAACAACGAACGTCACCATTCTTGCCATTCACAGCGAACGTCACCACTTGGGCCACCCCCATGAAAGAAAAACTATACCGCGCACACACTTGTCAGAGCCCACGCAAAAACAGGGCAACAGCACACTCCATGCAGCTGTTCATTTTCCTTTCCAGGGAGCAAAGTCGAGTCCAGCAGAGGTCAAAACAAACAGGCTATGGCTATGGCGGCACAGTCCTATAGTCGCATAGCTCAAGAACTTTGAACTTCTACGTCTTGAAAGATGCTCGGCTGGAGAACTATATCACCGGCGCGCGAAGATGGCGTGACTCGGCTCTTCTCAGCTCTGTGCCATATGACGGCAAAGAAACTACTGTATTGAATTTACCATTCAAGAGACTTTCTCCTCGGCGTTGCATCTCCACAGCAGGTACTACAAGTTAAAAAGAAACACTCGCGCCCAAAAGGACTTGTCTGATCTCATGCTTTACTTCGAGTGGTCCCCACGATGACGTTATACTCTGCCCCAAACTGAGACTACCTCAAACTTGTGAAAATGACATTGTTCACGTCATCTGGCGCCTTACAAGCAGCAACACAAATCCCACAACTGCATAGCACAGGGTCATTGCAGCGCACTGGAAATAGAAAACACTTGAAGTGGATTCGGTCTCCTGGTCCATCGTCCTCCTAGTGATGATCTAGCGATGATGACGGTCTACATGTGGCAAATCAAGCGCGTGTGTGTATTTTGTGTCTGATGCGAAACGATTCATGTGAGCGTGATGTGAACGAAGGAAGAGAGGAGGAGGCGGAGGCGGGGGAGGAGGAGATACATTTAGAGGAAGATTGGGAACCGAATGAAACAATGAGCCAAAGCAAAGCAGCAAAGCTAAGGGTGTAGCGCGTTGGGTCTCCCCGGTCGTAATTGTTGAGCAAACACCGGCCGCGCGAATTCCACACCTCATCTGCGAGGCTATGGCAAGAATCACAACACTGCGAATGAGCCAAGTGACAGCAGGTTCATGTTGCGTAGCGTAGACACCGTCACCGAAATGAGCCCGGTCTTTGAAGGAAGCAAAAATCTGGTTTATAGATTTTTCGCAGCCAACAATATTGACGAAGCCCATCTCGTCTGTGAAATGGTACAACACCTGCGTTTCGGAAAAAAAAGGAGTGCCCGTGGCGTGAGGCAGTCGCTGTGCCCCTCGCAATCAATTGAATGCGAAAGCAAAATAGGAATTGCCTTTTTGCATTTAATGTTGGTGTATCCTATCAGGCAAACCAACAGACCATAGCCCAAACTTTCATCAAATCAATATCCACAGTGCGCATCAAATCCAGAACTCCGGTGTCAAAGTTTGAATTTTCAACAAAAGCAGAAAGGCGACTTGTCTTCGCAAGGGCTTCTGTGAATCCTATCCCCTTGAACGAACTTCTGTGAAAACACAACATGGTCCAACAGCATGGTTATACTGCACGTACCTTTGCGCAAAACAAAGTCATCGATCGATGAGCCCATGAGCCCAAAGACCATGCATGCTGCAGCTGCAAAGGGCAATTCACATGCTTCTGCATCATGTATCTTGCGGGTCGTGGCCTATTTTCGCTACATCGAGCATGAAAGGAAAAGCGACGTCGGAAGTATGAGTTTAAAACCTGGTTGAGCAAAAAGTTCATGATTCCCGGGTCACATGCGCAAACAATAATGAAATGCCGTAATACTAGTGCATTCATAGCAAACAAGAAACCACATCCAGACAAGGCGGTGGAGAAAGGCAAACCGGCGCCTAAGCACGGACAAGGCCCGACAACATCCTCGGACAAGCAAGGCCAACGCAGAGAAGGAAGGGCCCGTGGTGCCCTGACAAAGCCTGGACCAAGCGCAAAAAGGCCCAGCGCGGCCAAGTAGGACACACCGCACAACCTGGACACGGACAAGAAAGGGCCTGCGGAACGGTCCTATGCGCACAGCGCAAGGCTGAGATCAGGTGGAGAAGACAGGGCCCATGGTGCGCGCGACGCTCAGACCCGGACAAGGTGCAGAAGAAAGGGCAGAGAGAACCCCAGCAGTACTTTTTTGGTGCAAAAACGAATCACTTAATAAACATCTCCAATGCACGGTTCATGTATATATATATATATATCATACAATTAGGTGGCTGATCTAACTCCTTCTTACGAACACGCCATTCTTCACGACAAATCTTTACTTGTTGCAAATCTTTTGCGAACTCCACGTTTATCTTTGGAGAGGGTCATATCCTGGAAGTCACCTATATTTCGCGAAAAAAGAGTCTTTACTTTCGCAAACTCGAAAAGGTTTTTGCGAACCACATCAAAGGCTCTCAATCAACCTATAGGTCTTATGTGAACATTTCGATCAAATGCCGCACGATGTTTCGAGCTTTGGCTATGCTGGCGGGTGCAGGGTGTGTCAAAACTGCATGGCGGGTGATCGGAAGATAGGCCAACACATGTTTCCACCAATATTGGAATTCAACTAACTGACGCAGCAAATCCCGCTGAAACTATTTTGGGTCTATGCTGGAATGATTGTACTGGTTTGGTGGATTTATGGTCCACATTAACCTATGAATGTGGTGCTAAAGCCCACCTTGAAGTCCATGTCGTGTGTGCTTTTCCGCAAGTCGATGGCGCAGCGCCACACGACCACATTCCCATCTGGCGCTTCAAACTTGTAGGTCGCAGTGTCGAAGAGGCCAAAGTAGTCCCGAATGTACGTGTCACCCTTTTGCATCAGCAGCTCGCCGTTGTGATACCTTGCTAGCGAGCAGGTCTCAGGGTTCTGGCCTAAATCAACGTACGTCCTTCAATTCTCAGGGGCTGGCTATATGCTGATGTTGACATCAACTATTTTGGTAAAAGGACAGCAGGGCAAAACAGTGCACGTCCGTCCGTCCGTCCCTCCGTCCATCCCTGCATTGCTGTGCACACATATACATATATTTCTGATATATAAATTTGTATAGAGAGATGTTAATTTACTCACCTGCCCGCCCATGATCTACCTTTTCCTGCTTCTCAGCACTTCTACCTTTTCATACTTCTCATCTGTTCTACCGTTTTCTGCTTTTCAGTCCTCTTGTGTCATTGAATTTATTCTTTCATTCACCATGCCTCATGTGCTTTGAAGCTTCCGTGAGGTAAAAAAAGTACTTGAGATTCAAGCAGCTGCTGGCTGTCTGCAGCTGCGCATGCGTAAACTCATGCAAATTCACTGTGATGTATTCCACAGCGCAAAGTCCGACGATACAAGAAACACATGTGAAAAAAAGAGCTGGGAAGCTGTGTCAGAATCCCATTCTTTGTTGGAACAAAACAGTTTTTTCTTTTCTGTACTAAGCTTCCCCGTTTGTGGATAGATTTTGCAATCAGTTGATACGATTTGACAAATGGTTTAAAAGACAGTTAAAGATTCTAAAAGGTCAGCAGTAGAAATCAACGGGATGTTAAAAGGGAATCAACAAAAAAGCAACAGGATTGCAATAGGTAACCAATAGAACCACAAGGTAAACAAAAAACAGAGTTCACAAATAAACATGAGCACTGAAAAGCGTAGACATTATTGCAGAGCATTTTGTTACTAAAGTTCATACCAAAGCAACAGCGCAAACAATGTTTGATTGGACAATAACATAACACTATATTCATCCAGGGGTATTGCTACTAAAGCCAAAAAGGGCAAACGTTGATCCTGGGGGTTATTATGCGCATTCAATAGTTTTTAGTGTACTTGGCTAACCCCTTTGTGGAACATATTTGCAATAGTTTGATAAGACTTTAAAACAAACACATAGTAATCAGTTAGAAATCAATTAGATAGTGAAAAAGGCAATCAAAAAGAATCAACAGGAATTGTAACGGGAATTGAACAATTAGTAGTTTCAACATGGAATTCAAAAAATGAAACATGAAAGCGTAAACGATATTGCAGGCGATGGTATTATTGAAGCCCAAAACGGCAAACATTAATGTAGGGTTATCTTATTCAATATTTCTAGTGTACTGGGCTACCGCCTTTTTGGAATAGATCTTTGCCGTCATGTAGAAAGGTTTAAACTGATTTAAAGAAATTAACTAAACAAACATCAAGAGGAATTCAATGGGAGATTGAAAGGACACTTTTTGGAATAAACATAGTGATCGAAAAGCGTTCAATAGGAATCAACTTCCGTGTAAAAAGAAAATAAGGAAGAATTCAAAAAGGGAACTTCAAAGGCGAGAGAGTCGCAATGGACTCGCAGGGACTATGTCTGCGCCTGCTTTTCTGATACCCCGGCAATGGAAAATACATGGTATGTAGGCTTGGGTAAAGTAGAGACTAAGCACCAAAACAGAACAAAAACCACCCTCCGGAAAATCTGGGGTAGTGATTTTGTTGATTTCTTTATTGGTGTTTGCTTTACCAGGGCAAGATGTGAAGCTCATTATCATATTATATCTGTCTGTTGCCTTGCCTTCAGTGTAGCTTCCTTGTGTTTGTGGCTCATACCGTATACCGCAAAACACAACATCTAAGAAGTAAAAAAGAAAAAACAACAACAAAAAACACTAAGTCGGGTTTTCTGAGAAATCTGTGTTCTTAGGGTGTTTGTTTATGGACCCTGTTTACATGATGCCATGCAAAGGAATAAACGAGGATAGTGTCGTATGTATATATATATGTTTATATGTCATATGTACACCGTGTTACACTGCTTGCGTTGCATGAATTGGGAAAGCCGCTGAATGCAGCCCTTAACTGCAAGTGTGACTCACGCATGCTGGCGCAAGACCCGACAAAACATGCTCTGAAGGTGAAATGTCCGTCCGAACTTGATGCTTCTGAGGCGCCCTCCAAATTTCCCATTCTCACACCCAAAGTGCTGAGTCAAGAAGTTCATGTCCTTCTGCAACTGATATCGCCCCGTCGGCGCAACAACTGGAGCCTTCGCCTGCACAGTCAGGAATCGAATACTTCGGCAAATATCTCATTCAGAGAATAAGTAATAACTAGTTCAAGAAATCGAAACAGAAAGGACGATTGAAGGGATCCATACTAACATTATCATTGCCAACCAAATTCAAGAAGCACCATTACTATACAGTATGCTTACTTGATCTTGCTGGAAGGTAGGTTGAACTCCCCAAAGACAATCAATTTATAGAGTCGAGCAAGAAAAACGCCTTGCGACAAGTCAAAAGCACGGACCGGAATTTTGCCATGTCCCTGCCTTCATGAGGAGTACGTGCGGGGCAATGACCAGGGGTTCGACGACCACAGTCGCCGATTGGACCGTCTCTGCCTCGATTGGACCGTCCGCTAATGTCGCAGGCTTTGGCGAGGTGTAAGTGTCGAGGGTCTCGTCCACAATAAGTACCACCTCGTTCTTCTCTGCCTCGATTGGGCGGAGGTCGAAATCGCTGCCTGGACTCGCGAGGCCCAAGGACGACCAAGGAGCGGGTGGAGGTTTCTTACTCGCCACCGCATCGGAACTACAAAGGCCATTGATGCATCTTGCAAAATAGGCGAAGAATGTTGGACGACCAATCTGCAAGGACCAATCAACATCTTTGGTCTTGGTCTGTCTTGGCCTGGCAGCTGCAAGAAGGAATTGATCTTTCTGACAAGAAACAAAACACAAAGTCACAGCGAATCTCATGAACTTCAATTGAAAGCAGGAAGCAGCCAGCTGCAGCGCCAACAAAACGCTGTAAGACTTTAAGAAGTCTATCCACAAAACCTTTTTTGTGCGATTTAGGCAACCCACGGGAACACTGGTTGATTTGATTTGAGAACTCTGGCTAATGTTGGGGTGTCAACCTTGGAGCCCAATTTTCATCTGACCGAAGAAACACAAAACACTACGCTCCGGTACAGGTCAGACAATGAAACGGGCCAGTTCCTTGGAGTTTTTGTACAAACAACCAATCCAGCATGCCCAAACAACAGTCTTGTAGGGTTCCATACCGTAACAATCCATGCATTGAACATTTACCTACATTGACGGGCTTTTAAGATCTTCTTTTAAGGGTCAATGTAAGCAAATCTTTCAGTTGCATTGATGGTCTGGGATAGGAAACTCAGCAAACTAGTTGCTCGACCTTCGTTGGAAGGACCGCTCCAGCCTTGAGCGTGATGCTGTCAGTGGCTGAAGCCCAGCGTTCAAGGGCTCCAGGTTTGGCACACCCAAATCATCAACACGCCAAGCGTTTCTGAGAAGACGATTATCCTCAATGGCTTTCACACCAGTGGTGCTGACAGGCACTTGAGCTTCACTCTTCAGGGTACTTGTGAAAGGGACGCCGGTCCTTGCACATGCCCAAATGAACTTCTTGCTGCAAAGCAATTTGTGAATATGATGGGTAAGAGCAAGACTCCTGTGTGTATGTGTGATTCGTGTGATTGATACTTTAACAAATATGAATGACTCTAGCCCGCTCCTAGTTATTCCTCATTGCTTCAAACAAATGGAAGCTGAAATCAGTAAGAACGGCAGCGTGCCTTTATACTTTGGATAAATTCAATCATCGAAACTACCAGTATGTTGGAGGGGCCTCTACTTTGCCATGCATGTAGCTTGAAAGAAGACTTCAGCCCTGAAACGGAAAACGAAAAAAGAAATGTGATGTTGATCAGGCGTGGAAGCAGGCTAAACAATGTTGGTGAGGTCAGGTGAGCAAGGTCTGTATCTGGGGGGGTGGAGTGACACAAGGCGAGAAAACAAGCTCGGTGAACACAGTTGAGGTGGACATGAAAGATTCATGTACCAGAGCGGGCGGAAATTTTGCAGGGAAACTGCTGCGCTGAATTAGAACGCATAGCAAAAAACAGGCCGTACTACTACTGGCGAGACACGAGACACAACTTGGCGAGACATGAGATGGTATGAGATGAGACTGAGCTATCTTCCTTTCAGGCCACGAAACTTTTGGCGGCGGTCATGACGAATGGAGAACGAATTCAACTGCAGTCATGGCGCTCTTGCGTTTGGAACACGGGAAAGTACAACAGTATGACAACCAGAATCATAAAAAAAAGCAGTAGCTGTTGCAAAGCTATGTTGACATTCTGCAGCAAAAACCATCGGCCTTGGGCTTTCTTCCAATGCAACTTCAGCACTTTCTTCTAGCTCCACTATGGACGGGCCGGATCTTGTAGAGGGGCTTCTGCTCCTTTTGGCGCCCACACTATAGTGCGTAAACGGCACAAAGTGACGACATGCAGAACAACATATAATCATGGCTGCAGAAAACATGTCATAAACACAAAGCAACGGAAGGCCTTTGCCCCTATGCAACAGTTGTGACAAACAAATCCACGCCAGCCAAACACAGTAACCATTGAAACCTAAGAGGCAACAACTTTGCCCAATCACAATACCAGTCTACAAGTGTAGGTGAATATACGTATTTTGCTTGGTGAGTTACTTCTTGACCCTTGGTGGTTGACAAAGCAGGTTTTCTTTGTCAAATCTACGAGCCATGCCTTGCTTCGGCCGCGCGCTTCGTGGGACTACCAGCGCAGCTGTTCCTGTCACACTTGCTGCATGGAGTTTCTGGCAATGAACATGATGGGCAAAAGTTCTGCACGTGCGGATGACCTGTTCCGCAGCACGCCACCCTTCCAGCTAGCAACACAGGAAGTGGGTTCGCAACAGCCAAAGGTTTTGCGTTTTGCTTGTTTACAACGCTGCGCTTGCCAAACATTGCGCTGCGCATGGATCTGTGAGTGCATGTATACTGCATGTGCTCCGTGATGGGTGGCTTGGGGCTGTAGACTTTTTGTAGGCAGTCAGCACTGTAGGGCCAAGAATGGTCAGCCTGGACAGTACTCTTCTGGTGCGCCGCTCATCTTTGGGTGGTGTTTGCTGGTGTGACCGCAGTTGTGCTTTGGACATGTCTGATTCTGCGCTGCTTGCCGGCTTGATTCACTCCAATGAGATTAATGGGAAGTCTGCCTGCCAATGGAGAACGGAAAGACTTCAATTTCCAGCACCAAAAAGGATCTTTGTTGCATGAATCGGGTCTTGGTGTGATGCAAAGAACCAACTTAATGTTTGCATTGGTTTGTGAATCTCTGACTGCTTGTCGGACATAGGAGAGCCGGACAGGTACCTAACGGTACCGTCCCCAACAGACGTGCAGCATGGTCTTCAAGACAAGCCAAAAGCCTCGAAAAAGAAACGTCGCCGACTGAAGACAGTGTATATTTACAGCTTTGATTGTTGTTATACTTGTGTTTTGCTAGGTCTTAACCATCCGGTTGTGAACGACTTCCAGCGTCGAACCAAAAGATCTGACAGTCGCGTCAAACATGCCTGCATGGACAAAGCCTGTGGGGAATGAAAGAACACTCAATGGTGTGGTCGTGTGATATTGTACAGTATATGCTGAACACGTTGCAGCGCGCCCACGAAGCGCCCACGACTGCTATTGTATCAACGTCCGGTGGTGAGGACTGCGAAAAGCAACAAACCGACACAGGATTCAGTTTTCCCTCACCCTCAGACCATCAAAATCGCATCGTTGCCAAAATGAGCAGCACAGTTTCATGTTTTTGCTGCAGCCAAATGCAACATCTGAAAGTTGTAGCGTAGACCCAGTGGGAGTGAAAGCAAACCAATGTCTTTATATGCTGCCTTTGAGTCTTGGCACATGGTGGCCACACACACACAAACACACATGTACCTGTGTGGTGACTGATGCAAAGGCAAGGCAACCGGCCACGAAGAGAAACTTCTGTACGCCGAACAAATGCGCAAAGACCGTAGCAGTCTCAATGAACTGTATTGGCCCTGTCACACCCCCAACCGGCATCACAAAGGGTTTTCAGGAATCTAGTTTTGGGCCACAAAGCCAGCTTGCCTGCAAGACTTTCGAAGCCTGTGCGCAGCAGCCGTGGAAAGTAGAGTGACAAGCCCATTGTCGCAGCGCACTTTCACCACTCCTGGCAACGAACGTGTCAATTGATGTTCCCTGCAGTTCGTTCATTTCATGCCCTCTCGGTCTCATGCATGTTCACCTCGAAGAAATCAGGTTGTAGGTTCCCGAAAACAATAATGCAACTGCAACCATGCACAAACCAAATTTCCTCTGGGTGGAAGCATATGTGGAAGCATTCTGTCATCCTGAAATGATCTGAAAAGCTATTTGACGATTGACCCACTACTGGCTCCAGCCTTCATGAAAGGGTACTCCATTGACCTTTTTTGTGGCAGTCATCACCTGCAAAAAGCAAACAAAGCTCCTCTTTAACCAAGCAAGGCTAAGGTCTAAAGCAGCAATCCGAAAGAGAACACTGCGGTACCCTCGGAAAAATGCCAAGAAGGTACCCGTCAGGAATTCGATTGGCCTCTTCGACGGTTGCAGCCTCCCAAACCTGCAGGTGCACCGTTTCGCTGCGCTGCGATCTTCAGTTTTGCGACCAGAACATGTAAGCAAGCGGGTTCAAGTGTGGAGAAGGTAACCTGATTCCAAAACACCACAAAGGTCCCAACTACCTGCAAGCTCCCATGCCTGAGTTTGTTCTGTGTCAAAACGTTCCCAACCCACAAACAATGGAAACATGATGAACATGATGAAACTCATGTAGTGTATACTGGTTTGTGCTCACAGTGTGCTCATTTGGCCTGTCTGTTTTCCCACATTACAAGTGAATCCTGCCTCATCTGAAACGAGAATCTCCACTCGATCCCCTGCTCGATAGTTGTGTCCGACACTCCCGATGGAAGTCACATTAGATGCGACAAGAGTTGGCTGTAAAGGCCGCGCTGGCGCAGTATGAGTCAGTTTGGGCGGAGAAACAGTTGCCTGCACCACCTGGACCCCTGGAAAGCCAAGCTGTGACACAAGCAAATCCTTGAATAGGGGAGGATACGCTGGAAGAGAGACACTGGCTGATCCGGGCGCCACTGTGGAATCGATGGGAGTTCCACGCACTGGCAAAGTCAAGCTGCCAACTCGTTTGAACGGTTCCGCTTGACCGACAGGCTGCGTGGGGCCAACGTTGATGTTCACAACGAGGCTGGGCTCCAAGCTGGAGCTCCTCATGCGATCCATTGCCATAGCACCACCCTCGCAGTTACAGCAGCTCTGTGAGATGAAAAACAGGCAGCAAACACACACTCTCGCTCCACAAGGTTCAGCAGAAACCTCCAAATGAACGGCGGTGATTCGGACAGATTGGGCCCAGATTGGGATCTCATCTATGAATTTGATCTTTCTTCTCTTCACCAATGGTGTAGGGACGGTACTTCAAGTGAAATCCAACTAGAATGTGATGTCTTGCTTATAGTGAATAGGAGCAATCCGTGAACACCGTGAACACTCAGTCGGACCAAACGCTTGCATTCTCGGACCGTCTCCGTCTCTGCTCCACTCCAACTTCCAATGTACAAACAGCAAACGCCAACTTTTCCTTGTGCTGCTCACATCGGGCTGCCACACTTGAGACTGCCACCGACAGTCCCAAGTTGAGCGTGACAAGCAGCGTCGTCTCACCCTTCGCTGCATGTTCGAGTCCTCGCAAAAGGAGGGCACAAGCCACGAGCGACCAATTGTAACGCTGCGTCCATCAAACGGACATGGTAGTATGTGTTTTTTGTTGTATTTTTATGTTCACATTCAAACATACGTTCAGTTCATTTTATTGGTGTGTAGTGGCCAGAGGCTAGGCCAAAGGAACCTCGGCCAGTTTTATATGAGATGGCCAGAAACTAAGCCACGCACCTCACAAGATCCAGGGCTTTTATTGCTTTGATTTACCGTTTTTAGTCTAGCCATATTGGAATCTCAGTGTACAATCTGAGATAGAAGTGTGTTCAAATCTCTGACTTTGGTGATTCTCCCAATCTTCAGTCGCACAAGGGTACTGTATAAGTGCGTGTGTTTGTGCGTGTGCGGGTGGGCAGGTGAGTTTTTGGGTTTGGCAAACGTGCATCTCCTTCTGGTCATTGTTGTTGACTTTTTGGGAGATCGAGCAAGGGGGTCGATCTATGGACAGCTTGTAGAGGCACATCTGTAACAGGTAACGGTAGAGGTGTGTATGCAATATGATTAGGACAAAGGCAAAGGTGAGTTCCCACAAGTAATAATGGTTCAAGCCAAAGGTGACTCCCCGTTCTGTCAACAAAAACGGGGAAGCTAATTGTTGGCTTCAGTTTTAGCTGTTCCTGTTTACAGTTGGTGCTAGCAGTGAAACCATAGGTGTCCAAGCAATCGGGCCAATAAGGTGATGCAACCAATTGCATCTTCGGGAAGTCACCGGCAACATCGAAGGGATGTGAAGGAACGTCAGCAAAAAAACAGCGGCTCATGAAATGTTGGCGCGATTCTCAGGGCCCCTTCAAGTCACTGAAAATGGGTCCGCCAAGACAGTATCACAAGTACTATCACAAGTATCGTCCCACCCAAGGATGATGAGCAGGATGAGTGTGACTATGACGGGAAATTGGAGACCAAGTACAACCAGCCATGCCGGAACGATGGATTTGTCAGAAGTTTGGAGTGTCATCCTGGCGCAAACCTTGAGGGTCGGGTCGAGGGTGTCTACACAACCATCAAGCGAACTTCCATTCCTGGCATCCAGCAAGCCTGTGCAACACAACCCCTTCTCCAAAAGTGTTCCGTTGTATTTATATGGTTTTCTCGTGGTCCTTCGTCACCTGCGGGTTGACACCTCTGCACCTCAGCGGCCAAAGGACACAAAGGGACACAAAGCACTCCAGCATGCCGTGCGAAAATTCCTTGGGATCTGACAGGAACCTTGGGAACTCCTGAAGGCTTGAACCTTGTGAAGCAACGCGGGAAGCTAGCCACTCCGGCATGTATCGGTGTATGTTCTTTGCTACCAAACAGCTCGTCAACGTGATCTGCTTTTTGCATTGCGTAAACAAGATGGAGCCCACGAACCCGAATGCAAGCACGATCGAAAAGCTACATATATCCAAATGACACTCTTGTAGGACACTCTTGTGGGACACTCTTCTGGGACACTCTTGTGGGACACTCTTGTGGGACACTCTTGTGGGACAC